ATCCTCGAGAACTCAACCTCCATAAATGCCCTGTAAAACTAGAAACAATTGTCAAGTTAAATACTAGGTATCTAAATCATACCATGTATTTAAGATCTTTATTAATAGTAAATTTGTACCATTCTGTAATATTTGTTACTTATTGTAGTGTTTTCATACAATTGTAAATATTATTTGCCTTCAATGATGTTAATACTTTGTAAAACAAAGGGGTCGCTCATGACCATGCAGTTTATGCGACCAGAATAAATAAATAAAAAAGGAGCCAGTTTTTCGAAGATATTGAAAATGTTCAAGGGACTTCGTGCAAAGTACTCCAAAATTAAAATATCGGTTTCAAATTTGAGGGTCAGCGAGATCAGTCAGATGGATTGGGGAATATCAATTTTGGAGAAAATCGACTGAACGGTTTAGCCGCGAGCGTTGACCACAGACGGATGGACGGACGGCCAGACAGACGTTTTGCCGTCAATCGAGTTTTCGATGTCAAGAAACAACAAAAATAGGATTCTGTCTACAGAGGTTGTGTTAGAGGACTTTTTAAAATAAATTTAGCATAAGATTTATCAACTTTTTCTTTATCAGAACCCTGCTATAAGACTTCTGGCGAAAATTCGCCGTTTTTCGTCGCACGATTAAGATTTAAGTAAAAAACAGTAAAAACTGTATTGACGTACATGAGGAAGATCATCTGCGTACGTTTTCTTGAATTGCAGAATCGTTTCCCATGATTTTAACTATAAATAGTTGAAGGATCAGCAAAAGGTAAAGGTAAATAAATAAAAATAAAATTTAAGAGAGAGCGAGTAGCAACATTTGAAAAACTAGGCACTTTCGTTCCCGAGTTATAGAAAACTAATTCGCAATGGTAAACGAACTGGAGGATTTATTTCTCTGCGTTGCTAACAAAATAGTAATTAGCTCTTATCTCTACTCCTAAATTCTAATTTTACAATTCTCAATTATTACAAAAACACAGTGAAATTATTTCTATTTTAACACTATACCGTTGGCTCAAAAGGAACTAGCAACAAATTACCAACATGGCTTATAATGACCACAATGACTATACAATTATTTGAAATTATTTCCCTTGGGAATGTTACATACAAATGAAAATATATTATACTGGCTTACAAAGTTCCCCTTTCCCCTTATATAT